AATTTGAGAGACTAGCGCAGTAAGGATGGTCTTTTCCTTCATCTGGGGGATCCGCAGGAATCAACAAGGATCAACACAACTCAGCCAACCCCACACCAGAGTCAGAGTCATTGGTGAGTTGAAGCAGCATGGCGGATCAAAGGTTCGACTACTCAAAAACAGCAGCGGAGAGCAGCTAGGAGCCAAGAGGCGCATTGTAGCTGGAGCAGAAGATTGAAGACTCAGCAAAGGCGAGGAGTTGCAGTGTCGACAAAGGCTTCAACGAGGACGTCGAAGGAATAAGTGGGGGAGAATGTCACGGACAAACTTCTAAACAAGATGTTTGATGTAATGCTTATGTATGTCCGTGTCTTTTGGCATGTTCATGCCTTGTACAGCATGTAGAGGGACGACCGAAGGATTAATAGTCCCATTTTAGTTGGGTTGGTGGCCTCTTTAGGCTTGTAAATAAAGGTTGTGTCATGTGGACACGTGCGAGAGATTTTCGGTCTGTAATGGACCATTTTACCCTTTGTTGTGCCACTGTTCAGAGCTTGTAAAGTCTGTTTGTAATTTGCATTGTCTATGAAGTGTTTTTCGGAGATGTTTGCTTGTGGATCCCGATTTAGGCGTTCTCTCTAACCCGTTCTCTTTTTTGTTGATCCTAAGGGAAAATGGGAGGCTTCGGGGAGGTTGACCTTTGCGGACGGACATGCAAGGGTGCCGCACGACTTAGGCAAAACCAGCTAAGTCCGTGACACTTCGGTGTTACTTTCCTTAAGTTCAATATGGATTCTCCAAAATTGTGGTCAACATACGATGACAAAGGGTACTTAAACAATCACATTAATATGAACTTATTTGATTGATATGAAGAGAGCCAACTTTTAGTAATTTTAGTAATAAATTGGATAATTTTCTTGTTAAATGTGCCAAAAGCCTCTTGAAATAGATGTCTGCTGAGTTGATATATGACTCAGATTTATATTGCCTCAATTTGTATTTAATGTATCCTTTTTCTTTTGCAAAAGGGTGAGAGGAGTATATATTTAAAGAAAGATAATTTATAATATGCAGCTGACGTGTACCACTACTAGGACAGTAGCGGTAATGAAAGGATAGTACCAAGGGCTATAAATACAAGTAGATTAGATGTGGATAGTTTGAAGCCCATTCATACACTAAAAGAGACAAAGCAAACAAGAAAGCCCTGTCAAGCATTTAACATATCTTCTCCTTTGCAGTGCATATCATGTGATACATGTCATCCACTGATGGCCTCTTTTCTATACTAATGTGGTGCAGGATTAGTGCAAGGACTCCAAGATGACAATGCTATCTGTTATTTATTCCAAAATTTGGAGGATAGAATGTGCTTCTGTGTGGCTTTGCCATCTGATCTTTCTTGGCTAGATGGATTTTTTAGAGATGAAGTGATGGTCAATTGAGTGACATGGGTTGCAGAAGTTCGCTCTATGTAAACTTTTGCATAACACATACATTCAATGATAATTGTAGATGAAACAAGTGATGCTTGGTGCCTATGTTATGATCCTCTTCACCATTAGTTTATAGTAGGCTGCACATAATGTCCAAAGACATTGCTACGAAGCATGCTTCAGGCTATTTGAAGAAGCTTGGAGGTGTAGCCATCACAATCTAGATCCTTATCACCTTTAATTGCACACCTGATCAGTCACATCTTTAACCAGCCAGTCTTTATCAACTTCACTTATGACAGGTCCATTAGCCAGTGGGGTCCATATTGACTGTTTTCTGCTCAGTGGAGTTTGATTAAAACTAATACACTCAACAGCAGTGTTAGGTTCCTAGTAAATTTTGTACTGAGTTATAATTGGCAGAATCTTATTGGCATATGTTTTGAATATATTATAACCACAAGAGACCTGATCATGAAAAGTTCATAGTACATCATGAAAATTTAGGTAAAATAATGGATGGTGGACTGCGTCAATGAACACACATTTATGGTTTCACTATCAGTTTTTAAGCAACAATAGAATAGGTTGGTCTGCAAATTAATTGAAGCCATCAAGCTCAGATAATAACTCATCAAATATCAAATTATCTGACCAGATTGGTCGTTAAACATTTTCTACTTAGATCTTTTCAGCCTCTTCTCTCTTCTTTTTTTACCTTTTCTTGGGTGTTTATTGCTTTCTGGATTATCATATTCTTGAGTTTGCTTTATTTGCAATACATCTGTCAGCCTGAGAGCTTTGTGCTACATTTATTTCTTCATGTTGGATTGATATCAAATCAATCTTCTATCTGATCTGCTTGAGTCATCACAAGGTCTCTTAGACTGGAGTTGTCTTATCTCCAGGTTGGAGCTCATGGTACTGGCGCATGGTTGCCGCCCATTGATGAGCAGGTTATCAGCATGAAGTTGGTGACCCCCATGAAGGGAACAATTGTGGTCTCAAAAGAGAAAAATCCCGAACTGTTCTTTCTAGCTCGCTGTGGTCTAGGTGGCCTTGGAGTCGTTGCAGAAGTCACCATTCAATGTGTAGATAGACACGAGCTTGTAGAACACACATTTGTTTCTAATGCCAGTGAGATCAGGAAAAATCACAAGTAATATCATCACTAAGTGGCTGTTTAACTATTCGCAAGTAATATTATCCTAGTTATTGTTTTGGTCCTTCTTGTTTATCTATTTTATATGTTATTATTCAGGAAGTGGCTAGCTGAGAACAAGCATATAAAATATTTATGGATTCCGTATACAGATGCGGTTGTAGTGGTGCGGTGCAATCCTCTGTCTAAGTGGAAAAATCCAAAGTTTAAACCAAAATATGGGAAGGATGAAGCATTGAAACACATCCGTGATCTCTACCGTGATTCACTCAGGAAGTACAGGTGAACATATTGCCCAGGCAGCTTACTCTATCGTGATAATTACTTTGATCTCATCACTTAAGCTTGTAAACAAGTGATCCTTGGAGCACTCAGGCCTTTTTGCAACAATTACACAGGCTTTCTTGATTACATTGCCCGTAGTTTTCTGAGTCTTTTGTGCTGGTCCTATCTGCAAAGACATTGATTTGAAGTTGTAAATGGTTGCAGAACTGATGTTGGTAATGATGAACAAGATATAAATCAACTATCTTTCACAGAATTGAGAGATAAACTTCTTGCCCTTGATCCTCTTAATAAAGATCATGTCATGAAAGTCAACCAAGCAGAAGCTGAGTACTGGAAGAAGTCTGAAGGATATCGTGTAGGATGGAGTGATGAAATACTGGGTTTTGATTGTGGTGGGCAGCAATGGGTGTCTGAAACCTGTTTCCCAGCAGGGACCCTTAAAATGCCTAACATGAAGGATTTGGACTACATAGAAGAATTAAAGCAGCTCATAGAGCAGGAGGATATACCAGCACCTGCTCCAATTGAGCAGCGTTGGACTGCTTGCAGCAAGAGCCTCATGAGCCCAGCCTCAAGCTCAGAAGAAGATGATATATTTTCATGGGTAAGACAAAATTTGCCATTTTCAATTCTTTAATAAGAGCACAATTTATGTGTAGTCAATTTTTGGCTACATTTTTAGAGAAATTTTAATCTGCAGTTCCTCTAATTAACATCAAACCTCTTACATTTTAGTCCTCAAATATTGGTCTTTGCTTTAGTATATTTTCCTTCTGCCAATTGCAAATCTTCGTTGAAAGTTTTCTTACAACATAAGCTTACTATACAGTTGTTATATGTGACACAATAAAGCACTAGAAATAGTTTTTTTTTTTTGTAATTGGAAAAAAAGTCTCCTGTGCTCACTTATTGTATCCTTGTCCTTTGTTTTCTTAGGTTGGCATCATCATGTACCTGCCTACAATAGATGCTCGCCAAAGGAAGGATATAACAGAGGAGTTTTTCCATTACAGATATTTGACACAAACTAGACTGTGGGATGAATATTCTGCTTATGAACACTGGGCAAAGATTGAGGTATCAATCAGTTATAGTATATCATCTGACTCTTTTGTTCAACTACAAATACATTTGAAAAAAACTAGAACGAGGGATGAATATTCTGCTTATGAACATTGGGCTAAGATTGAGGTATTAAAAAGTGATAGAATGTCTCATTATTGTTTTGTTCTAGTGCTTAATTTTCCCATTTATAAATATGACAGGATTATATCTTTGGAATGTTGGGAAGTTTCTGGGTGTCAGTTGTGTACCTAGGCAGGTAGTTGGAGTCCATACTTTTATTTAGCCTGAGGTCCTATCTTGTGGACGACCATCACTGGTCATATAGGGGCTATGAGGGCATGTAGGTGGTGTTGGCATGTCGTTTGAGCAGATAATTTAGTGGAGCGCTAACCTTCCATTAGTGAAAGTCGGTTATGTGCGCTAAACGAGATGTGCTTGTTAGCCCATGGAAACTTCTACTCCTGATAAGATAGGATGGGGCCAATGGTTTAAATAGGTGCTCAAGTGCTCGCTTAGGCGCTCGGGTGAGGCGAGGCGAGGCTCGAGCGCCTCATAGATTCGCCAGGCGATGTGCTTCAATGAAGCGCCGCTTGGGCACTCGCTTGAACCTGAGCATTGGGTGCCTCCGTCCAGCGCCCAATTGAAACCATGCAACCCTAGCACCTACAGTTCGATTGAATAGTAGCTAGTTGGTTCGATTGAACCAACTAAGCTACATAAAGTTACTTTATTTGCAAAATCTACCCCCTGCACGTCGCCTCTCCCCCTCCTCCCCCCCCTTCGCGCGACCCTGAGCAACTCTAGCGTAGCCTTTACCTCCGTTGCCGATGTATAGGACCAATGCTTCCTTTGCCACTGCCTCTGTCGTCGACGCACAAGACCGATGCTTTCTTTGTCATCGATGGAAGTGTTTGAAGGTGTAGCTTTCATGTGTAGTTCTCTCCGCCATCGTTGCTTCCGTGTGTAGCTCCTTCCAATATTAAGGGAGAAGACTGCAACGTCCTCCATTGATGGACACATCTAAAGCTTCCCTTGCCCACGACGCTGTTGTCTGCAGCTTTTGTTGTCACCACTGTGATAGAACCCTTACGGATTCTAAGCTTGGGGTTGATCTCTTTAGGGGATCGGCTTCCTTGGAACTCTATAGGGGTTCCTTCCTTCAAGTTGGTGCCCAAAGGCTACTAAAATGATTTATCTATTTCTTATCAAAAGAGGATGAATACATGACTATTTATAGGGCTTCTAAACCCCAACTCCTAATAGGACTCCTACTCAAGACTCATACTCAAGACTCCTATTCAATTAGGACTCCTACTTCTAACCAACTTCTAATGCTTCTCTAAGAAGCAACCTCTAAACTAATCCTATCCTTAGCCGGCCTCTTCACCTCTTTAATAGGGGTCGGCTAGGTAGGTTTTACATGAATGCCCCTTTCAATTAGGACTCTCCTAGCTAGAGTTCTAACATACCCGTCCTCTTCAAATCAGCCTTGTCCTCGAGGCTGACGATCCATGAATTCTGGGAATTTGATCTTCAAGTCGTCATATTTCTCCCCAGTGGCATCTTCTGTTAGTAGGTTCGCCCACTATATTAGCACTTCAGTAGTGGGTTGTCGTCGTCGAGTCACGATCCGTCGATCAATAATGACACTACTTTAGTCTGGCCGTTGGTTTAGAAAATTGCATGGGATGTCGAGATCTATTGTAAGTGGTCGTGATAGGGTCTTCATGAGCAGATTTTAGACAGAATTATTCCAGATGCAGGGCACGATCCGTTGATCAGTAATGACATTTCGGAAAATATCATTCATAAGACTCTGGAAGGTGGAGGGAGCATTGGTGAGACCCGTGCACTCGTATTGGCCGTTGTGTTTTCGAAAGGCGATTTTCGGTATATCTTCTTCGTACACTCGTATTTGATGATACCCAGATTGAAGGTCCAGCTTTGTGAAGACCCGTGCTCCCTTTAATTCATCAAGCAATTCATCTACTACTAGAATAGGGTATGTGTCCTTGACGGTTATGCCGTTGAGAGCTCGGTAATCAACGCACATTCGTCATGTTTCATCCTTTCATACGAGGAGCACTGGTAAAGAGTAGGGGCTGCAACTTGGCCGAATAACTCCTATTTTGAGCATCTCTTTTACAATCCTTTCTATTTCATCCTTCTGGAGATGTGGATACCGATATGGTCGAGTATTTGCTGGAGGTTTGCCCGGAAGAATCGGTATACAATGATCATGCCGACGGGTAGGAGGTAGGTTGCGCGGTTCGTCAAATATATCTAAAAATTCAGCAAGCAAAGGAAGTAGGTTTGGATCTTCAAATTCTGTTGGCTCTCCCTTAGTTTGCTGCTCAAGTTGTACCAAAAAACCGCTGCATGCTTTGTGCAAAACCTTCTTCATTCGTTGTGTGCAAATCGTCGTTACGTCGCCCCCACGTTTCTCGTGCAGTATCATCGGTTTCCTCTTATTGTAAAATTTCATAATTAGTTTACAAAGTTCCAGGAAACATCACCTAATGCCGTCAGCCATTCGATGCCGAGCACAGCCTTATAAACATCAAGAGGGAGGAGGAAGAAATATGCAATTATCTCTTAGTCTTGCAGCAACAGTTTCACCTACGGGCACCTATGATCACACTTTAAAATTCGTCCGTCGACGACCTTAACGTTAAACCTGCTGCAATTCTCGATAGGTAAGGCCATCCGGACAACAACCATGCTGTTCATAAAATTATTAGTGCTCCTGGTGTCAATAAGAATGGTGATAGGTTGTTGCTTCAGAAGTCCTCCCACTTTCATCGTTTGCGGGTTCACGCAACCGGCAAGGGCATGCATCGTAATATCAATCGGCTGTTGTTCTTCATCCGCGACCTCTTCCTCATGCTCCTGGACCTCCTCCTCCATGTCTTCAAGAGGTTCAATCAGTAGGAGGCTGTCCCTTTTGCAGCGATGATCGCGGTTCCACGACTCGTCGCAATGCCAACAAAGACCCTTTGTCGATCGGTCACGTAGTTCTTCCCTTCTCAATTTTCTTGGCAGCGAAGAATGGTTGGGAGCAGAAGGAGGTTTATATGTCACGGGCCTAGGAGAGGTTCTCAACCTCCGAGCATCTTGCTTGAGCCGTTCTTTTTGTATTCGAGCGAAAGAAATCGCAGCTGTCATGGTACGGGGCTGTCGCGCCTTAACCTCCCCTTTTATCTCTGGCTTGAGTCCTTCGATGAATGTTCCTAATAATTGACGGTCAGTCCAATCACAAGCAAGGTAGGATAGCTTCTCAAACCTGGTTTGGTACTCTTGAATCGTAGAGGTTTGTCGAATCTTTGCGAGTTGCCCATCGATATTTTCGTACTCCGTAGGTCCGAAACGATTCAGTAGTGTGTTCTTAAATTGATTCCACGTCGGAGCCCCATAATTGTATTCCAGCCAATTGTACCATTGAATAGCATCTCCTTAAAGGTGGATGATAGCAATTTCCACCATAGCATCATCCGACGTTCGGTAGTAGCGAAAGTAACATTCGTCGTATGAAATCCACTCCGCCGGGTCTACTTCTTCCCATCACGGAAAGTCCACCCTCATGCGTGGCTGAAGCATGTCCGAGGGCTGTCCTTCCTTGTCTGGAGGTCTCTTTGAACTCTCTCATCGCAGAAATTTGGTTGGACTCGGTGGTTGTCCAATTTTGAATATGCAAACAATGTGCGCAATTTATCCTCCAAGCGCGATTCAAGCCGCGATTCAATCCGAGATTCCAATGCTTCAAATTTGGCATCAATTGGTTCTTGAGAAGCCATAGAATATGCTTGTAGATCAGAGATGTCTCTTTCTTTTTTCTGTTGACGGGTTAATAGCATGGGGTGGTGGAAGGTTCGAAAAAATTGAGGATCATGGAAAGGTACTGCAGTAGATTTTTGCATCTAAAGTGTAGCAGTTTGGATGTAAAAGGTCAATGGTTTATATTGAGAATTTTTTGATAAAACCAAAGGGAAATCCGTTGTTGTAATTCACGATGGAATTCGACGATGATCTTTTAAGCAATTGTGGGACTTGCTTTGGGCAGCTGTGGAGGGATGATGGATGGCTGTGGAAGGGCAGCGAGACGCCAAGAACGCTGCTCTGATACCAAGTGTTAGAACCCTTGCGGATTCTAAGCTTGGGGTTGATCTCTTTAGGGGATCGGCCTCCTTGGAACTCCATAGGGGTTCTTTCCTCCAAGTTGCTGCTTAAAGGCTGCTAAAAAGATTCATCTATTTCTTATCAAAAGAGGATGAATACATGACTATTTATAGGTCTTCTAAACCCAACTCCTAATAGGACTTCTATTCAAGACTCCTACTCAATTAGGACTCCTACTCAAGACTCTTAATAGGGCTCCTACTCAAGACTCCTAATTCTAACCAACTCCTAATGTTTCTCTAAGAAGCAACCTCCAAACTAATCCTATCCTTAGCCGGCCTCTTCACCTCTTTAATAAGGGTCGGCTAGGTAGGTTTTACATGAATGCCCCTTTCAATTAGGACTCTCCTAGCTAGAGTCCTAACATATTGCCATAGCCGTTCGAAGCTTTCTCTGTCATTACTGCAGTCGTCTGTAGCTTCCTCCATCACTGTTGTCGTCCGAAGCTTCCTTCCTTGCTGCTACTGTCGTTCGTAGCTTCCTCTGTCGCCGCCACCATTGTCTAAAAGTTTCTCCGTCATCGCCGCCCTCTCCTTCCTCACTTTCTATCGTTGGTGACTCTTTTCTCCCCTCTAATTACTGTTAACAGTAGATTAAATACTGTTAACAGTAGATTGTTAACTACTGTTATCATATAATAGTCCCTATTTAGATTTTAGCATTGTTAATCTCTATATATCAATTGTATTATATAATTTTTATATTTTAAAATTTCAGAGCATTTCGCTTTGCTTGGGTGAGCGCCTAGTGCCTCGGGCGTTTTGGGACTATGGTGCCTAGCGCTTTTTAAATCACTGGTTGAGGCAAGTTGGAGAGAGGCCAAGTGATGAATGCCCTTGACTAAGTTCCTCAATGAGTAATAAGCCTTGTAGTTTGTACCCAGTCCAGGTGTTTTTTCCAAGTATCTCTGATCAGCAGTCAAGCTAGCCCTTTATAGAGGTCTTGGCATGTCCAGGTTGGGTTGGACCATGTCGTATTTAGTGCTTTTGTAGGTCTTTGTAATGTAACTTCTTGTATTAGCTATATGCATGCGTGAAGTACAATTCGGGTGTGCAAATAAGTCTTTTAAAACTGGATGACTTTATTTAGGAAACAAGCCTTCTAGGGTTTTTTTGTGTGCTTCACATGCTAAAGTTACTTTTTGTTTTATATTGCCAATAGATTATGATCACTTTTGAGAAGATAAGAAAATTGTCATCATTTATTTATCAAGGAATAGTTTTATAGTAGTAGAATTGATGGTTTATCTTATGTGTTTCTTCAATGACATGTTTAGATGGAGGGTAGTGGGGAGGAGAGAATAGAAATCAGGAGAAAGTTAATTTATCTTCTTTTGTTTCAACAGATGAGAGAAGCAGATGGAAGGTAATTTTCTTTCATCAGATACCATGAGGAAGAAGTGATGGGACCTACTTCTTTCCTGACCACCTTTTTCTTCCCCTCCAAAAATGGAGCCATTTCAAGAGAGAGAGAGAGAGAGAGAGAGAGAGAGAGAGAGAGAGAGAGAGAGAGAAATAATATCAAGTGAACCGTTTAAATTCAGTAATTTTTGGTGTTGGTGTGATACTTGGATGTCTTTGTGTACAGTAAGGGTGCTTAATATAATACTTGCGGAGGAGCATATAAAAGATAGATGTTTCACTTTCATGCTGAAATTTATATTTCTTTAGATATATTCTATACATTTTGAAGGTACAGGACTCAAAAATGCAAATAAGTGTTTCTTGATGCAATCTTGGAATTATGTCAATTACTCAAAGTTTCATTAATTTCAGAACTTGTGGTGTCTCTCCGCAGGTTCCAAAGGACAAGGAAGAGCTTGCTGCACTCCAAGAAAGATTAAGGAAGCGTTTTCCTGTTGACACCTATAACAAAGTACGCGGGGAATTGGATCCTAATAGGATTCTTTCAAATGCAGTGCTAGAAAAGCTTTTCCCATGGAAGGAGACTGCTCGAGTCTCATGTTAGTTGAACTGGATTGGCTTGTGTCTGTTGCTTTGCTTTTCTGGACTACAATTATATACTAAGATAACTGGAATCTGTTGAGAGAGACGAATAATCTGCTGCTCTTATGGTTTAATAATTGCATCGGAGGCAAGATTTTGTTCCATGCCTTTCATCTTGTCAATATATCTGGGTTGGCCATTGCAATTGCCAAAGAATTTCTCACATTTCTCTTGGAAATAAGAAGTGGTTGTTTCTCAGTTCAACATGAGATGTTGTATTTGTTGTGTGTAATTTTATTTACTCCCAAGTGTAGTACTTCCTACTTACCATAGAAATAAGACTAGCTTCAAGAATTATCTGATTGCATAAACATAAAAAATAATTTTCCTTCTATTTCAAATTGACTAGACTGGAGTTCTGCAAGCTGTCATGTGCTCATGCCATGTTCTCCTGGATAAATTCTGGAAGTGATGAACACGTTATACGGTGCAGGGACCCGACGAGAATGGGGCTACTTTTCATCTCAAATAATGGCTGGCAATGTTATGGAAATTAGCAACATCCAAAGAATGGATACTGTCAGATATTTTCTGTCATCATAAGTTTTCGTTGCTTTTTTTGCTCAGATCTCAGCCGTAAATGGATTGTGATAGATTTAAAGTATGTAATTTGTTTTTTTGGCAAAAGGATAAGTAGGGAATGGCCCAATTCAAAACTAGGACCTTGTTGTCAATCGTTTTCATAAATATTTGATTCTTGTCCACAAATTCAATTGTCTCATTTTTCTAATAAAGCTATCCGATTGTGATATACTTTCTAATCTTGTCATAGTTATATTTGGTAAATTAAGAAAAAAAAGCTCGTACCTTAGAAAATTTCTCCATAAGCATTATTAGTTTCAAAAATTTTAGCAGAATGCCTCTTGATCGATAATTTTTTTTTTTCACCCCTAGATAGTTAAGGTCTATTTTCTTACCTAAATAGTGATTTTTGGGCCGTCGATTCACTAAAGGTTCAATAGGCAGGACACAAAGTTTATTGCACTGTTAAAGTTGCTTGTAAAAGGGTGGCCAAGTGCATAAGATGTGCCATTGGATAAGACCTTAGGTATGAGTGTAATGTTCTAGCAGAAGCCTAGACTTCTGAATGGGCATTGTGACATCAGTGTATGACAATCACAAAAACTAGTTTCCTGGCTTGTGCTAGAATAATGGCGAGAGTTAAATTTTATGCTTGTTATCCACATTGGATTTGGTTTTCTATCGAAATTAAATTAGTATTTCTGGTCGGTGATAGTGATGACTAAAAAGCAACCAATAACATGTAAAGAATGCTTTATAAACCAAGCTGACATGTCACTTTCTGGTATCAATTGTTGTAAGAGCAGAATTTGTGGAAGCTAGAAGCAGTAAAAGGTTGTTCCTGACATGGTCAAGAAATAAAAAATTCTTGTTTAAAGAGCTGAATGAAGGAAGGAAATTGATAATCCAAAGTTGACAAACATTACCATGGTGTTGTGCTTGTTTTAAGCCTTTTGCAGTACTAATGTCTACTACGCAAGTTTTATGGTACTTTGCAAAGTGCTTCTGAACTCTATATCTCCACCAGAAAAGTGAGAGCTTTTATTGTCCTGAAAGCAATTCTCAAATGCCACTACCTGAAAAGGCTATTTCGTGACACTTCCTTGTGTTGTATGCTTCTTTCATTGCTTTAGGAATTCTACACTTCTTTGGACACAAAATCTGAAAATAATGTGGTTACAGAAACAAGGTTTGACACTATATTTTCTTTTTTTTTAAAAGGAAGATTAGTTGTTTAAATCTAAATAGAACTCATCAAGAAAAGTTATGCTCTCTTTTAATCTTGATGTTAGCTCTATTCCATCAAGGAACCTTTTCATTCTCTCTAATACTTACTGCTATGACAAAAGAAACAGTGGTGTTATTTATATTGAAAAGTTTACTATGCCAGACTTCCTAAATGTGGGGAATCCTGAATTGTGCACTGTTGCTTCCTTCGTTGCATGATTTTAAACATACTGAGAAATTCCTTACCTACTTCCCTTGTGTTAGCTTTTAGGTAAGGCATACCTTCTATGTTGCATTTGTATAATTTTGATACCAATAGCTTTAAACAGATAAACTGAGTTGTAGACAGAAAAAAGTTCTCCATTTGCTGCGGAACCTCCTCAATTTAGACTTTCACTCTTCTAAGTTTGATATTTATTGGGGTCTCCCAAGATCCCTACTTAGAAATTTAGCCATTATGAGGTAATCATCACTGTATGATTAGCATATGTCTCGTCGACCAAATGTTATATGCTTGTTGGTGTAAAATGCAATAACTTTTGTATTATTTATTAAGATAAAATATGACAAATTGTATCTCAAATCCAATTTACATTGTTCTGTTCGTGTTCGTTATTTGAGATCTAAACATGAAAATCTTTGCTAATGCAGATCATTTTGGCAAGAGTATATTTGAGGGATGCCACCATCACTAGGAAGCAGCCGAAATATCTGGTTATGGAATCAATACGAGGCGGTTGTCAGGTTCATAAGTTAGAACTGATTACTTAAATCACTCTTATCTTCAGCCCTTCCTTCTTGTCAGTTGGATTCTTATAATTTATCTATTTATTGTTTTCATTACTGGATGTTGCGAGATTTTTTTATTGATTTGGAGGTCCTTAATCTCTTTTATTCTTGGTATTCATTGTTTTTTTGGACGTTTTGTACATGAAAGGAAGAGAGGAAAAGAACAAAAAAGAATGAAGAAATGACAAGGAGGAGGCTAATCGAAAGATTCAAAAACTGTTTGGCTTAGTCCTTTTAAAAGAAAAAAACTAGACACCTCCCTTAAAAGATTAAAGGGATCGAATTGTTCGAAATAGGGTGATTGTTCTTGGACTGATAAATACTAATTGATTGTAACCAATAAATATATACTTAGGATTTGTTCTTACCTCAATAAGAATAGGTATCAAGAGAGGATACGTTATGAAATATGTTTTTTCTTAGTCTTTAGAGGACATAATATTTTTATTTGTTCAAAGTTCAATTATTTCAAGATCTTTTGAGATGGGCATCACAAAATTCATTTTACGGATCCATACCGATGTATTGACCAACTATTTATATAATATATATCAAGGTGTATCGACGTATCATATATTGATGCAACATATTATATATCAGTATGTATCAAGATATACCGATGGTACATCTAAAATTATTGAAAATAACTCCCAAAATATCTAAAAATAAAAAAAAAAGTTAGATTAATATTTTTAAGTTAAAAATAAATATAAATTTAGTATAATTTTAGTAAAAATAATCTAAATTAGGAAAGAATAGTGACACTTATTCTTTTTAGATTTTGAAGAGTACTTTATGATATGTTTTGGATCGTCCTTCCATTAATTATAAATTATCTATAAAGAAATGATTTGAATTGTTATATTTTTTTAAATAACTTTAATTTTAAGATTTAATTGAATCAAGTAATCAATCGATAGATATACCTAGTTCTACCAACAAAAGAAACGATGAGACTCCTTAGGTGGTGGATCAGGATCCTTGATCTAATATATATGTATATCAAGTTGATATGTTTATTGGACCCAATCCTAAAATTGATCCTATAATATAGTATACTAATATACCATATATCATTCGTACATCAATAAGGTGATGGTTGTAGTTTGATCGTCATGAATCATATATATCTAAGGTGGCTCTTAAGGTAAATACGATTGTTGCATGTATTAGTGTAGAGCATAGAGAATAATGTCAGAACTATTGAATCTCAGATTTTGATGATAAAATCAATTGATAAATTATTTGATATAATCTATATATTGAGAAAAGTGTATAGGATTAACTATGATAGCAGTAAAACATAAAGCAAATGTTGTGTTAGAGTCAAGATCGATATTTCGTTGGGAGTTCGAGAGTTTATCGGAAGTCTGGACGTTCATCGGATGTTCTGCCGGAATTAACCAAGAAGTCCAGGAGCTTGCCAAAAAAGCTCGTTGGAACTCACCAAGAAGATCGTCGTGAAATCTAGGAGCTTGTCGGAAGTCCGCTAGAATATTACTGAGAGATCGTCGGAAGATCGCTGAAAGCTAGCCGGAAGAACAATTGATGAACCGGAACAAGAATGCTTTGTTAAATGTCTTAATTATTGTAGTTAGACCTTATGTTGAGTTAAGAATGAGAGGTAATCCCACTAACTCAGTTAGGGGCCAATTGGGCCCTTAACAGGACTGAATTAGGTCGGATTGAACAGCCCATTCAGCACCTGAAGTCATGGTCGATGGTGGCACCGCTTGGGACTCGATCTCCGAGGTGCTCTAGGCAGTGGTACCACCATTAGTAAATGTTGCCAATGGTGGTACCGCCCCTGTTAGACGATAGTACCACTAGAGCTCAATCTCCGAATTCTGTCAAGTGGTGGTACCGCCCAGTGTTAGATTGCAGGCGGTAGTACTGCCCAATAATGGCGGTGGTATCACTAGTACCCCAAAATCTGGGGATGTAACACTTGTTGGCTCTAATTATGAAGCCATTGGGGCCTATTGTCACGCCCCCCCTGAATCGATAATATTATAATTCAACAATAATCCATTCCAGAATCCAATCATATATTTGAGGATACTGAGAAAACATTCAAATCATTCACATCCATAATTCCATAATTCATAAAATCTATGTAGTTTAAATTCATATACCACATCGATCGATGAATCATAAAATCTGAAAATCAACTCACCAAGATAATAACAACCTCATATATTCACAAGTGTGAGATTCTACATAATCACAAAACTAATATTTACCATATGTTTCATATCATTACATAAATTAAACTTAACACTCCAAAATTCTAAACATAAGAGGTTCTTTAAACTTTTACAAAACTCATTAGTTCATATTTACCATCAACATTCCACTAATGGGTTTGCCCAAAGTCTTTTAGCTTTTCACAATCTCAGCCCAATTTAAATGTTTTAGGGAGCGATAAGCTATCCTGAAAATTTTATATAGTAACGGGGTGAACACATAGAGCTCAACAAGCGAATAACATATCCATAGCGAAAGAGGACAGTTTCAAAACAAATAAGGTACCAAATACAAGGCTGGGATACAAGAGTTCATAGATAGCCACTTATCGAATGCAGATTTACAATGTCATTTCGTTCGAAGTATGTTTTGTTTATAACAATTAAGTAAAGATTAGTTGGAGCAAATCATTGATGTAAAGATCATTTTGAGACGTATTAATGGCGTATAAAATGTTACGGAGCATATCAATTGTATATGAAGCATTTCAA